ATCTGTCAAACGCGATGCCCTGGAAATAATACTAATTGTGAAGTAAAACCACTCCATAACGTTTCTCAATTACGTCGAGCTGACAAGAAGAGTCCCCTTTTACTACTTAATGGAAAACTCAAATACATAATTGTTACATAACCTTAAACCAATATTTCATACTACATCAAAATGCAGTTCGTGGATAACGTATGAGTGGCGTCCTTATAACAGTTATGCGCTCTGTGCCTACAAGCCCTTGAAAACGTACGACGCGTAATGCTAGATATTTCTTGAACAGTTAGCGGTACCCCACACTCCTCCACTGAAGAGCCCTTGAAGAGGAACCAGAATTAACCCAAGACAGTACTTGAAAAGTTAACCATACCAAACATCCATTGGTCATGTGAACTAATGGGTACCACTATAGGATAGACCATGAGAACTTAAGGGTACCCCATAGGATAGATCATACGGACTGATGGGTACTCTCCTACGATAGCCCTTGAGAACCTATTCATTCGGTCCTAGGGTAGGGCTTTAGGGGCTTCAAGTACATCCACCAGGGTAGCCGTAGGAAACTATGAGATAGCTTATATGAAAAGAAATGGTGATGGTAGGCTGAAATTAATCTAATATCAAACAAAAAAGTGAGGAAAACCTTAAAAACTCAAAACAGCCTGAAAAAATCGGTAAATCCAAGAAAATCTGAAAATCCAAATGAATCCCAAAATCTCAAATTCGCTTTTTCCCCCTTGAGTTCGCTTCAATAGAACATATGTTCGACAGCAAATATAACCGAAAGCCAAGATCTATGTACTTGATAAAAAAAGCATTTTTTTCTTGAAAAGGTCGTTTTCCGTCATGACTTAGCCCACTGAATGGCTCAAGGTGGAAAAAAAACTTGTGCGTAGAGCAATGATATAACACTCATATGAGTAGGTTCTCATAAACGAAAAGAGACATTTGTTCATAAGCAAGAATATTTTTGTAATCTTGAGAGCTCTTTTCTGTGAAACCTTAACATCTCCGTTTCAAAGTTTGCAAATCAATATATCACTTGAGGGTGTGAATCCCCTTTTAACCCACTAACAGGTTTCTCTGCAATTTCGATTGTTCGATATACACATTTATTAAATGTCATAATAATCGATTAAAACTTGCACGATTACAATTATTACGAAACAAGAAACCTTTAATTATATATAACATTCACTTAATGACTGAAGCCCTTTGTTTTACATTTATGTTAATATCAAGCGAGACAAAAAGCACTACATAGCTACAATTTTGTTTTTTAAGCGTGCATTCACACTACTCAGTTATTATAGCAAGAACACATAAATGAAATGTTTTATTCTTTTTTTTTATAAAAGTCCAAGTAATATAGCTCGACCAAAGCCTTGTGCGATAAACGATTTGAATTCATCGAAATTCAGCTTATAATCGCCATCTCTATCAGCCTGTTGTATTTGATGAAGAAGTAAGTATGGATTTGCTTTTGGCAAGATGACACATATAAATTCGTGTAATTTAGTGATATCGATTGTGTTAGAACGGTCGGTGTCAAGAAGACGAAATGCTTCCGGAACATCTTCAATTGCATATTTTCCCATCATAAACGTGCGTAATACTTTTATGAACTTGTCATAAGCCATTGATGGTTTGTATAATCTTGATGCAGTCCGCTCATATTCTTGTCGAGACCACTTGATATGATATTTTTTATTTTCGCCACGATTATTTTCATCATATTCATATTGAACTTCGATAATTTGACCATATTTTTCACATATAGTTTCCGTTGCGATTATTTTGTATTCATCAGACATCTTAAATGTAGTGTACATTTTGATTTTCAAAAACTATCAGTCCCTTTTTATTGTATCTCAATTCAGAAATAGATGAATTTTCTACAAATCCATTTTTGAAGTAAATTATCATCTGTAGTAAATACAATACAATTCTACACACTATTCATTTATTCCTATCATGCAGAACATTTAGATGAAATCTACTTTTAATCTCTAGAATATTCGAAAGTAACAAAAATGTTTATCTCATGGAAATCTTCTATACAAAATTTGAATGTGAATGATTTACAAAAACACAATTTTAGAGAGCGTTCCTATAAAAGCTGAATCAAATCTATTGTTCAATTCGAAAGTATGAAAGTGAAAGAGAACATTTCCATTGAAATGAATACACAAAAGAGTTTGATAATAATTTCGTTTTGTGAAAGATTAAATCAACTGAAAAGTTATAGAACTATTCTTTTGCACGCATGTAATTTCAAACGTACAGATAATAATCGTTTGTCCCAGTAGAAACGCTCGTATGATCTTATACTTTCAGCTAAGTTCTATATCATCATCATGGAAAATTACTCATTGTCAATTCGAAGTATGAACTCGTTCATGTTGTTGTTGTTCTTTTCTGTGCTTTTGCGGTTTTTTTGCTTCGATAATCATTTCGTTTGCCACTTCAGACATTGAAATCTTAATAAATATTATTGATGCATAGCTTATTCTAACAAAAAATATTACACAGTATTATATTACACAGACTTCAGTTAAGTGTCCATTGATTTTCTTTAGTGTTTTCATCATACTCATTGTTTAATTTTGAATTAGAGGAAAATCGATGAAAACCGCACGATTAACAAAATACTTAAACTTCGGCCTTAAAATATTTTGAGTAGTTTAAGTTTTGAGAAAAAGAGAAGATTGCGTTTTTCTTACTATAGAATTGACCATCGAAAATGTGCTATGACTAGGCACTGAATCAACACGATATTCTAGTTAGTGTTTGCAATGAACTTGAAGATCTTTGTCGAAATGGCATTTGTATGTACACACTTTTGTCTAGCGCTTCGAGTTGAGTCAGTTTTTTTTTTTTGACAAAGCCTGAGTTGCGTTTGACATTACTTTCTCATTCATAATGTCACGTACTCTTTTGAACGTCACCGCACAAATGGAAAGGACGAGAGTAAACTTACCGATTCCTTAACCACAAATTTTAATTCAACATTAGTGCTTATGTTTTTTTACATGTACAAGCGAATGATAATTTTATTTCATGAGAGTCAACCTTGTTTAGACAGTTACAAATATTTCATGTAGTTGAGTTGAACTTAGGAAATTTATCTTTTATATTCAACAGATCGAACCACTTTAAACCACTAAACGATGATCAATATAACATTTACTTACTGTCGTGTATATGATGTTTGAAGAAATATAAATGATTCTTACACTTGCTGATAAAATCAGAATAAAACTGAAATGAAAAAAAGATAAGTAATTTGTTTCTTGAAATAGCTTTGATCTTAACGGTTTTTGAATATTCTTGTCCTAATACACTGAAGAATAATGGAGAAAAAGGAAAATAATATAGCTGACAATTGCAATAATTTAACTCTGTCTCTGTTTCATAAACACAACAAGTCATTGGTTCTTCTTGTTATTTTTTTGAATATTTTAATATATTTTTATTTGCACTTCTTTTTTCTGACGTTTATCGATGTATGTATTTACGTGTTTTTCGGAAAAAGAGAATGAGTCGGAAAAAGTCAATATAAGTCAAGGATTTCTTTCTAAAGAACGAGAAAAAAAAAGACCAGAAAGGTATAATTAGCCTGTAAGTCTCTCTAGATGCTTTCTCTCGTGTATTTTGTCTATAGAAAAATGTTCTTTTCTTATTATGATAGAGAAAAGAATGAAGGTGATATTATTTACCGTCAACAACAACTGCTTATGACAACATTCAAGCTATTTTACTCTTTATAGAGTCAATCTTTTTATTTATAACAAATATTATTATTAGCTGCTTACAGTATTCAACAATTTACTAAAAATGATGCATTGAAGTTTAAATATGAGATTCTAAAACCGCATGATGAACTAAACTAAAAAGAAAAAGAAAACATAGATTGCATACGGTAACAGTGTTAAAATAAGATCGTTCACGAAATACAATCAAGATATTCTAGACATAGCAAAACAAGCAATCGATTATATGATATTTCTCTAATTGTTAATACTTTTCAAAAATATTCTAGATTTAAATCTTGCCTGTATATGCAATGAAATCTTTTTCAAATTAAAACTTATGATTACGAATTCCATAGTAGCTTATCTTTTTGATTTTGTCATTATCACATATCATTCGAAAGAATTTGTCCAGTTGAGTAAGGAAAGTTGATTTTAGTACTTGCTAAACTTTGTTCCCACGTTAAACCAATCATCAAAAACTAGAAAGATCTGATTTTGTCGAGTTTTTGATGATTTTCAAATAATTCAATTTTCTTCCTTTAATGCTCTTTTCAATTTTGCAAGCTATTTTTTCTGATTTTTTTATCAAAAATCGATACCATCGAATGAAGTGCGCAAACTTCAATTTTTCTGGATTCGTCAGTCAAAAGTCTGTGGAGTTTGACTCGTTCATAGTTGAAGCCAACATTGATCTCTAATATAATTCGTCGTAAAAACGAACTAGTTAAGTATCTACTCCGATTTTTTTATATGTTGGTTCTTTTGGAATCAATTTGAAAAACTAATTCAAATGATGTGAGTTTTGAGATTTTTGGTCCATTCGATATTTATATTATTCAAATCATTTTCTCACAGTGATTTCAAAAGAAGCAGCTAAGCTTCACTAATGCCAATTGTGAATTACGATGTAGATAAGTGTAGGTAATCTGTCCATCTATATCCTCATTTCAAGAAGCTATATTGAGAAGAAAATAGTCTTGTTGATTTTCCGTCTGTAGGCAAATAAAAATGTAAGTCACACTATTTCTAATAAAATCTCTGATATGTATATAAACAGTCCTTCGACAAATAGTGCACTTTAACACGCATAGTTTTCTGAGTAATATTGATGTCAGACGTTATCTTTCATTCATATTGTCTTCTTTATCGTCTCTCTTTATATTTCTTCGTAATCCTATTTGTTCACAAATCATTGGATGTATTGTAAGATAATGTATCAATTCCTGTTTCTTTGTTTTTCTGTATCTTTTATCTCTAACTGATCAACTGAGTGTCACAAAGAAGTTGAGTCGAAAAGAAATAAATGCATACACAATATTTTCATTGGATGAATCTTTTTAAAAAACATCTTTGCTTGCTTGCGACTTAAAAAGTTCGTTTGAGTGGATCTAGTCGATCTTGTGTACAATATCCAAAATTATATAATAGATGACGATAATAGAAATCAACAATACATACACATGTGTCTCAGCAAATATTGAGTTTCGCCCAAAAAGATTGAGATTCATCAATAGAAAACAGTAAGAATTTATAGAAAATTTGTCTTGTAAAAATGTGGTATATGTCAATTAGGGCTCGAAATGAGTCACTTATTTATGACCCGGCTTGAAGAAATTTTTTTTAGCAAACATTTATCCAGAATTGATCATAAAGATCAATACCGTACTTCGGTAGAAGTTTTTATGGAACGTACTATAGAGTAATTGATGAATTTAATGACATCAGATCATTGAAACGACAAGGAGATAATCAGAAAGGATGTTTGTTAAAAATGGAGAGAAGGTCGGCGAAAACTGGACAAGGGAGGCCGTGAGTCTGGAAAAGCCGGACATCCGATCCGGAAAAATAACTTTGAAATTTTTATTTTATGTCTCTAACTATAATATGGAAATTTTTATTTTGGGAATGCCACTTGATTGAAGTGCGTTTCGTTGTTTTAATGCGATAAGAAGTTCATCATCTTCCTTGTTTTTCCTTTACCCATTCTAAAACCTGATTGATGCTCCCATCCTCCCATAAATGTTGGCGACATCCAGACACCCCCTAGCATACATCAAAAAACGGTCAAATAGAAAATGTTCATCTTTTAGTACTTGATCATATTTGGTAAATAATGGTTTTATCAAATACTTCACAGATGAGTCATAAACTATGAAATAATAATGGATACTGGTTTATTTTAAACACAGGGAATATATTTTGTGCACAAAGCTCTGCGTGAGGGTGAAGTCAAAATGTCTAAAGTGAGCGGATATCCAAAAATACAACAAAAATATGCAAATTACATATTTTCATCTCACTGTCAATTATATTTTATAATCTACAATTGTGCAAACAGCTTGAATATAGGCTTTCTGAAAACTTCTAATAAAGATGAGGAAGTTTTGCGATTGGATACAATGAAAAAAATAGAGTGTAAATCGTTCTTATTACATGTCTGCATGACACTTTGTTTTTGGAAACCAAATGTATAATAGAGTATCAATCAAATATCAGAAGGATCCTGGATACTTTTTCTTTTACCAATGTGGATTCTTGCTGTTAGAAACACTTGTAGCAGTTAGCATTTGTTGACCTCTTTAGTCCCTAGACGTTCGGTAAACTTTTTTCCGAAGCCATAATATTCAGTGACCGAAAACAACTGAAATGACCTTATTCCATTTCAATCCTTTGTTTCACTTTTTTCAACAGAAACCTAAATTACATTCCCTATTAAATGACACTTATCCATAGAAAAAAATTGCAGTGAAAAACAAATGTTTACATTTATGGCACTGATTATTACAGAGTTTTCACGCTTCAAAAAATTCACTAGCTAGCCATACTTCATATTTTTTAATAAAT